TCCGTTCCCCGCCCCGAGGGCACACGGCGCTCCCGCCCCAGGCCTCCGCGGCCGCGGGGGCCACGTGTGCGCGGCGTGCGGGGGAAACGGGACGGGGAGTGTTTGGGTCACTCTGGGGGGGTCACACTGGGGCTACACTGCAGGCCAGACAGACTTCTGGGCGGGCCGACGCTCGACCCCGCGTCTGGGTTGAGAGGAGCCGGCCGGGGGCGTGGCTCGTTCCGCCTCTATGGCCAATTGGGGGCCGGGGGCGTACGCGCCGGCCCAATGGCGGCGTGCGAGTGGGCGTTGCTAGGTGATAGGGTGATGGGCTGGCCTGGCCCTGAGCCGGCCGCCGTGGGCGAGCGCGGTCGTTGACCTGGCCCAGCGCGCCCCGCGCGGGGGTTACTGCCGGTCATCGCAGAGCGGGCCTGGTCCTCGCTGTCCGGTCGTTTCATGTCTTGGGGTCGGCGCAGAGACCCGGGCGGATGCCTCCGGGGCCTGGCCGGGGCCGAGCGGGCGCACCTACGGCTCCTTGGAGCCGGCCGCGGGGAGGGGACGCGCGGCCATCTGGCGAGCGGGCTCTGCCCCGGCACCGCTTGGTGTGATTCGAACAAAGGAGCCTTCCTGGGCAGAGGCACTTGCGCGCGCACGTGGCCACTCGCACCCACGCGCGCTCACGTGCACCGGCGGAGGCTCAGCTCTGCGTCTCGACTCGCTGGCGCGCCCTCGTAATTCTGCTCAAACGGTTACCGAACTTACAACTCCCTGCCCCGCCGCTCCCTGGAGCTCCTGAGCCCGTACAGCGGAAGGAGGGCAGGAGCGGCTGGGCGGGCTGGGCTCGAGACCCAAGACTTGCACCCCAGAGGGCGCGTGAGGCACTCGCTCTTGGGCTCTGACGTGTGTCTACAGAAAGTGACTCTCCACTCAGCTAAAGGAAGTCACATGAGCGTGCCTCAGTTGAAGGGGCGATGCCGGAAACAGCGGAGCGCGGCGACCCCCAGCTTGTTGCTTCCTGGCACATCCAGAGTGACTGCTATTGTTTCGCTCTCGGAAGCCTGCGAGTCCAGGACGAGCAGTTCCAGCCCGTGGGGAGGCTGTCCCCATACCCGTGTGTGTTCACCAGTACAGACACACACACGGCAGGGCAGGAGCTACCACACAGCGCGGGACCTGCAGCAGGCAGCTCCCAAGGGCCGGTCCCACTGTGTGCCCCACACCTGTGAGCCAGGCGGGACGACGACACCGTCTACACTTTACACGGAGGCAAAGTGAACACAAAGGCCACGTGGTGTGCCCAGGTCACACAGCAGGGGAGGGTGGGTGTCCTCCGTCCTGGAGAAGCTGTCTCCCCCGCTCAGAACAGCTGCCCAGCACACAGGGAAAGGCTCAGTGCCAGCCCAGGCAGTCTGAGTTAGCGCTCCACCTGGGGTGGGGACAGCACTGCTGCAGGCAGGTGCCAACCAGGTGCCAACGCCAGGGGAGGAAAGGCCTAAGGGCTCTGGAGAAGTGTGTGTGGGGGGGTCACGGGCACCCCCCAAAGCTGCCCCTCCCAAGACAGGTGAGATGGCGTCTACTGACTAGGCACAGGGTCCACAGGGGTCAGGACAGGCAGTGGCGATGCTTGGGATGTGTTTCCTAGGGGAGTGAGTGCAGTTTCGTGGCACCTGGAGTGAACGGAGCCAGTTTACGTGTATTTCTCACCCTTGCAGGGGCCAGGTCTGGGGCCGCCTCCGCCACAGCAGCGCCGTGACACAGGCACCCTGGCAGGCACGACGGAGCACTGGGGGAGCATGGGCCGAGTCTGGGGAGGCGGCCTCTGGCCTGGCCATGGGTGTCGCCCAGCTCTCCGTCTCTCAGGACTTCTGGAGGGTCCCCTGACACGCGGCACTGTCTGGGGTGTGCCTGCTTTGCGTGTGGCCGTTCTGCTTTCTGAGCGTGGGCGGCATGCAGGTGGCTGTGGGCAGTGGCACGGCAGGGCAGCAGGTGCAGGCCCCGGCTCTCCCACAGCGCAGCTGCCCTGATGCCACCTCCCAAGCAGGGCGAGGAAACAACTGGGAGGCTGGCAGGTGGAGGCTCGGCTTTAATGGGCTCTATGCTCAGCCTGGACGGCCCCCACCTGTGCGTGCACATGCGCATATGTATACACACTCACACACGCCTTTGCACGGGCCCCAAGCTGGGGGGGGAGGGGTAGGAGCCGAGCGGGAAGAGCCAAGGAAGTCACTCCTTGCAGCTGTAGTTCCGGACCTTGGGGGGCTGCCGGCTGCCTCTGGGTTTTGCAGGGTGAACCCTGGAGGGCCTGGCGGGCTTGGCCTTGGCCTTGGCCTTGGCCTGCACGTCCATCTTCGTTCCTTCAATGGCAAAGGCCACTGGCTTCTGGATGGAGCTCCTATCAGGGCGTGGGAGGCCACAGGCTGCTGGAGGCACTTTGAGCCCTACTGGGTGAAGACAAATGAGAGAAAGGTGTCTTAGGGTGCAGAGTCGCTTAGAGGCAGCAAGGTCCAGGCTATGTCCCAGCCCTGGGGTCTCGGCCCATATCTGTGTGGCACGCACTCCCCAGATGTTCTGCAGGGCTGGGCCTGCCCTCCCCCCGGGCACTCAGGGCATTTGGCCTGAAAACGCCACCTCCTGTTACAGCCATTTCGTAATGGGTCCCACAAAGGGGAGCCAGGGTTAATGGGTGACTCATGGCACTTCCCAGGATGCCAAGCACCCTCTGTCCACTAGCTGTGTTCGCCAGATACCTCCAAGGGCCCAGCAGCCCTGACATGTGTGGTTAGGCGAGGCCAAGGACCTGGGCACCACACCACGTGGCCCAGGAGTGGCTGACACGCCAGGGCCCCCTCCGTCTCTGCACTAGGGCATCGTCGGGGAGTTTCTTTACCCTTTGAACTAAGCGTACTCCTTCTCTAAGACAAAGAGGATGTTACTTAAAAGCAACTGGAAGAAACAGGCTCAGGACTGGCTGTGCCCCTGGGGGGGCCCGGCAGGCAGGGCCGGGGCTTGGGAGCTCCCTGGCACGGGCCTCCCTCACACGTCACACACACTAGGGCGACGTGCACTGCTGCCCAGTGTCCCCCGGGCCTGGTGGTCCGATGCTGTGGGGAGAGCGAGGTCTGGACGTGCCGCCTGGCACATGGCACGTGTGGCACAGCGGGGAGCAGTAGATGGCAGGGACTGGCCTAGGTGAGACCTGAGGACGAAGGGCCAGCTGGGCAGCCGCAAGCCTGGGAAGGGGGCTGGCGGGGCCGCAGACCGGCCTGCGCCAGAGCTAGCCTGGAGCGGGGCGTGGAGGCGCACACGGGGCAGGCGCGGGGAGCTTGCTGGCCTCCCGCCGTCCGCCCCAGCAGCGTCCGGAGCACTGTGAGCCGACGCCTGCCGGCCGTGCTCGGGGCCTGCCCGCTGCACCTCATCTCGGGCTCTTCCTGCTCCCGTGTCTTGCGCCCAGGGAGCTGTTCTGCTTTGCCTGCAGCCTCCACGGGCTCACACGCCCCCAGCCTCTCTCCTGAGCCCTGGGACCCCGTCACGGCCTCCGGGCGCCTGGGTCCTGTGGGGGAGGATGCGGGTCCTCAGGTGCCTCACCAGGAAAGGGCCCGTGTCTTTGGCTGTCGGGCCCCAGACCAATTCCCCCTCCACTCACAGACCCTCCTGCCCGCCTCTGCGGGTAAACCCCGTCAGCTCTGTCCTGCCACCTGGCCACCGCCCGCCGCTCGCCTGGTTTCCTGCTGGGGAGGGGCCAGCTTGGGCCCCTGACCACTGTGGCTTCGGGGCCGCTCTGGCCGTCTCAGGTGATGCTACTGGAGAACGTGAGGCCCGAGAGCCTCTGCTTGGGGGGCCGGGCTCCCGAGATGCTGTGGGGTGGGTGGGGGGCTCTGAGCCCAGGGAGAGGAAGGGCTGGAGCACAGACGGTGGCCCTGTGCACTCAACTTTCTGTCCGGCAGGACAGGGCAGGCCTGTCTCAGGCCTGCTTGCCCCACGCACGTGCCTGTGACCGCCACACCGTCTCCCGCCTGAGCCACCTGAGCTGTGTCCCCACTCAGCCTGGGAACCAGCGCAGTGTGGCCTCCTGTCATCCGACCTGTTCTGCTGGCCCAACCCAGCCCAGCCTTTCTCCTGGCCCTGGGCTCCGATGAGGCCACAGCTGGTCCCCAAGCCGCCTGGCCCTTCTACGTGCAGCTCCTCCTCGGCTGAGGGCGTATGGGCCCATGAGTTGGGCGGGCATGTGGGTGCTGGCATTGGGGAGGAGGGGCTGGGAGTGGAAGGCGAGAGCTGGGGGGCAGGGAGGCTCGGTCCCCACTCTGGAGGGCAGAGGTGGCAGTGGGAGGAGGACCCTGAGGCCCTGGGAGGGAAAGGGGTGCAGGGGGCGCGGGGTCCAGGCGGCCGCCTCACTTCCCCTGGGCTGTGGCCGGACAGCTGTGTCCCCCGCAAAGCGCTGGGGGTAGGTAGCAGGGAAGGCCCCGGAGCGGAGGGGGTGGGGTGGATTCCCATCTGCCTCTTTTCATAGAGATCGAAGCCTAAAAACTGGACAAGAGAGATAAAGCTCATGAAAGGTACATGGAGGCCACGCTCCGGGGTTAGCTGGGCTGGCCCTGGCTTCAGGCGGCCCCGGCATCTCGGGGTCCTTGAGCGATGGGGCTGCCCACCCTCGTGCCCGGGGACAGACTGGCAGGCAGCGCGCGGCAGTGGGCTGCTCCCTGCTCTTCTTGGCTGGGGGATAGCTGTCCGTGAGGCAATGCTCCCCTTTCCCAACGGGACTGAGGGGAGGGCCGCCCATCAGCCACGCCTGACGTCGCTCTCTGGAGGGCTGGCCATGACCTCCGACCCCGCGGCTGCTCTCGGTGCCCTGTAGGGCAGGCACGGGGCGGCCACGCCGACAGCATGTGCAGGGACGATGTGGGCCCACGGTGGGGCGGCTGTGCAGCTGCCCTGCGGCTCCCCACTGGGTTTCAGCCCGGCCCAGGGCTCTCGGGGGGG